CTATAGTCTCTATAGTCTAGTCTATAGTCTAGTCTATAGTCTAGTCTATAGTCTAGTCTATATCTAGTCTATAGTCTAGTCTATAGTCTAGTCTATAGTCTAGTCTATAGTCTAGTCTATAGTCTAGTCTATAGTCTAGTCTATAGTCTAGTCTATAGTCTAGTCTATAGTCTAGTCTATAGTCTAGTCTATAGTCTAGTCTATAGTCTAGTCTATAGTCTAGCCTATAGTCTAGTCTATAGTCTAGTCTATAGTCTAGCCTATAGTCTAGTCTATAGTCTAGTCTATAGTCTAGTCTATAGTCTAGTCTATAGTCTAGTCTATAGTCTAGTCTATATTCTAGTCTATAGTCTAGTCTATAGTCTAGTCTATAGTCCAGTCTATAGTCTATTCTATAGTCTAGTCTAGACTAGACTATAGTGTAGTCTATAGTCTAGTTTATAGTCTTTTCTGTAATAAATTCTTGTTAGTCTAGTGTCTTAAATATGTGTATATTCTACAATATCGACTAAAGTTTTGACCGTATATGTACGTTCTGCCGTATTGGGTATTAGTATTAGAATATGTTCAACATTGTTCCAACCTTTCAAATTTATCGAACACGTAAAAAAAATATATTTTATTCCAAATAAAAAACTATACTAAATTTGACTGATCATTCATATTAATGACATTCTAATTATAATACCATTATGATTTAATGAATATGTCGGTGGTCTGTGATTTTTATAAATATTATTTTTTTTTTTTTTTTTTTGTTTATAATACTATTTATCATTAAAAGTGTTGTTGACAATTGATGTCTATGCATTGCGCTGACATTATTAATGATAGCAAAAAAAAAAAAAAACAATTTCTAAAACAAACAAATGTTTTTGCAAAATGTGATATAAATAAGATATAAACCAAACAATGCATTGAATTGAGTTTTTAAAAAAGATGCAAATAATGAAGTTTTATTTCCAACACACACAAATAAAATTAAAAAAAAGCAAACCCTCATTATAAATTGCGATCTTGTTAGATCTCTGTTAATTACTGCACAGTATGCGAGAAGATTTTAAACCACTTAACTTTATGTTACAACAAATTATTTAATATGAAAATTTATCAAAAAACTTCATTAAATACAAAATTTTTTCTCAATTCTCTGAAATAATGAATATTTTTCAAAATTTCTTATGTGAAAATAAAATTTATTTCAATAAATTTTCTTTAAATTTTTTTTTTTTTTTTTTTTTTTTTTGAAGTGGTTCATGGAACTTTTTAATATAAAACCTTAACTCAATTCCGTTGAAAATAAACTTTGATATAACCGTTTATTAATCGGTGGAGTGTGGTGCAGAATATTAGAAATCCCCCCGAGACTATTTGCAAATTTCATTCACATTTAACAATGACCAGAGAAAAAAACATGTAATTATTACGCAGACAAAAATGATTAAAATGCTAATTCACTTAGACCAAACAAATAGAAAAACAAATAGTGAATAAATTTTGTTTAATGATGGTTAGGGAGTTACTTCATCATTTGCAAATGGTACAAAAAGTAATAATAACATCCATAAAAATAAGTATAAACAAATAATATTTTATACTACACCATTTCCGATTATATTTCCAAAGTTTTTATTTGAATTATAGAAAACTAGACTATACACTAGACCAGACTATAGACTAAACTATAGACTAGAGTATAGACTAGACTATAGACTAAACTATATACTAGACTATAGACTAGACTATAGACTAGACAATAGACTAGACTAGACTATAGACTAGACTATAGACTAAACTATAGACTAGACTATAGACTAGACTATAGACTAGACTAAAGACTAAACTATAGACCAGACTATAGACTAGACTATAGACTAGACTATAGACTAGACTATAGACTAGCCTATAGACTAGCCTATAGACTAGACTATAGACTACACTATAGACTACACTATAGACTAGACTATAGACTTGACTATAGACTAGACTATAGACTAGACTATAGACTAGACTATAGACTAAACTATAGACTAGACTATAGACTAGACTATAGACTAGACTATAGACTAGACTATAGACTAAACTATAGACTAGACTATAGACTAGACTATAGACTAGACTATAGACTAGACTATAGACTAAACTATAGACTAGACTATAGACTAGACTCTATAGTGTAGTCTATAGTGTAGTCTATAGTCTAGTCTATAGGCTAGTCTATAGACTGTAGACTAGACTATAGACTAGTCTATAGACTAGACTAGACTATAGACTAGTCTATAGACTATAGACTAGTCTATAGTCTAGTCTATAGACTATAGACAAGACTATAGACTAGACAATAGACTAGACTAGACTATAGACTAGACAATAGACTAGACTAGACTATAGACTATAGACTAAACTATAGACTAGACTATAGACTAGACTATAGACTAGACTATAGACTAGACTAAAGACTAAACTATAGAATATACTACAGACTAGACTATAGACTAGACTATAGACTAGACTATAGACTAGACTATAAACTAGACTATAGACTAGACTATAGACTAGACTATAGACTAGACTATAGACTACACTATAGACTAGCCTATAGACTAGCCTATAGACTAGACTATAGACTAGACTATAGACTAGACTATAGACTAGACTATAGACTAGACTATAGACTAGACTATAGACTAGACTATAGACTAGACTATAGACTAGACTATAGACTAGACTATAGACTAGACTATAGACTAGACTATAGACTAGACTATAGACTAGACTATAGACTAGACTATAGACTAGACTATAGACTAGACTATAGACTAGACTATAGACTAGACTATAGACTAGACTATAGACTAGACTATAGACTAGACTATAGACTAGACTATAGACTAGACTATAGACTAGACTATAGACTAGACTATAGACTAGACTATAGACTAGACTATAGACTAGACTATAGACTAGACTATAGACTAGACTATAGACTAGACTATAGACTAGACTATAGACTAGACTATAGACTAGACTATAGACTAGACTATAGACTAGACTATAGACTAGACTATAGACTAGACTATAGACTAGACCTATAGACTACTAGACTAGACTATAGACTAGATATAGACTAGACTAGACTATAGACTAGACTATAGACTAGACTATAGACTAGACTATAGACTAGACTATAGACTAGACTATAGACTAGACTATAGACTAGACTATAGACTAAACTATAGACTAGACTATAGACTAGACTATAGACTATAGACTAGACTATAGAATAGACTATAGACTAGACTATAGACTAGACTATAGACTAACCTATAGACTAGACTATAGACTAGACTAGACTGGACTATGGATTAGACTACAGACTAGACTATAGACTAGACTATAGACTAGACTATTCGGAAATTAAATTTGAAATTTCTGAAAAACAATTAGAAAATTCTGAAATACAATTTGAAAATTTCGAAATTCAATTAGAGATGGTGTAGTATTTTCTAGTAAACACAGTAGAAAAGTAAACAAAATAAAACACAGTAGAAAAGTAAAAACAAAAAACTGCATACAAAAATATAAATTCAAAATGCGTTTTGATTTTTGAGCGTGATCAACTTAATTGTAATGGATACAATACGTCGTCGTACATGGAAGTAAATCTTTATGTGATGTTTTTTTTTTTTGTTAAAGTCAGGTTCATATGATCGTGTGGTTGGTTTTCTTTTGTTTTAAGGTTGCTCTGCTTCTTCAGCTCCCTCCCAAGCATTGTCGCACAGCCTAGAGTGCCAAAAAACATAAATACTCTTGTTTAAACAATTACCATTATAATGGTAATGATGATCATCGTTGTGGACTTTAATAATCATCAAGTGGTTGATCATTTTTACTCACTCATTTTACACAGTTACTTACATTGAATGTACAAAATGGATGGATGGACGGCGGTGGATCTTACCGGCTAAATAATATACGTATGAAAACAACAAAAAAATTGGATGGTTGACTGGATACCTTGGCATATTTAAATGCCATAAACAAGATCTTTCGTCATTTCATTATAGTGTACATATACATTCATTCATTTATTCCAAGAGAAAAAAATTCCTTGTCACTATAAAAGACTTTGGTGTTTAGGTTTAGTTATGCAGTCTGCAAGTATTCTTCAAACTCTCTACTTCAAAATGAAATTTTTAGCTTTGGTTAGTATTCAATATCGATTATCAACTGATTGATTGATTGATTTATTTTTGTGATAAATTAAAGTGAAGTCGTTAATTAACTAAATTATTTTCTCATCCTTTTACAGACCATCTTTGTTTTCTTGTGCTTGGCCGCTTTTGTTGCAGCTGTACCCGCTGATGAATCATTGCCTGGTGATCTTTATGATCAGGATCAATACAGTGCACAAAATCCTCAATCTTTCTTCAAATTGAAGAAAATCAAGAAATTGTTGTTGGGTTAGATTTTTAAACTGTATCTGTATATTATTATTAATACTAGTCCTTCTTCTACGTGTCCATTTTTATTAAAAAGACGTAATGTCATTTTCATCTTGTGAATAAAGAAATATTAAGTACAAAATTTAATTAAATGTTTTTAATTTTATTTAGTTTACATTATTTTTAATTAAGACAGGAATTATCAAAATTTTTTTATAAATAGAAATTTGCAAAAATCACGGTATACTCAACAAGGTACCAGCACTTGGCAGCAACCTTGTCTATACTCCAGTCTACTCTAAAGTCTACAATATAAACTATAGTCTAGTACTCTATAGTCTAAACTATAAACCTATAATATAGACTATATTCTACCCTATAATCCAGACTATAGTCTACTCTATAGTCTACTCCATAGTCTAGAATATAGACTACTCTATAGTCTGGAGTATATATAGTCTACTCTATTGTCTACTCTATATTCTAGACTATAGAGTAGACTATAGAATTGACTATAGTCTACTTAATAGTCTAGGCTATAGTCTACTCTATAGTCTAAACTATAGTCAAATCTATAATCTAGGCTATACTACTCTATAGTCTAGACTATAGTTTACTCTATAATCTATTCCATAGTCAACTCTATAGTCTACTCTATAGGCTAGACTAAAGGTTTAGTCTACTCTATAATCTATACTATAGTCTACTCTATAAACTATACTATAGTCTAGACTAGACTATAATCTACCCTATAATCTATACTTTAGTCTAGGACCTATAGCCCCTACTCTATAGTCTATTCTATAGCCTAAAGGTCATAGGTCCTACTCTATAAACTAGACCATAGTCTCCTCTACAATAAATTCTATAGTCTAGATAATAGAATATAGTTCTAGTCTAGTCATAATCTAGTAGTCTATAGTCTAGTCTATAGTCTAGGTCTATATTAGTCCTAGTCTAATAGTCTCTGATTAGTCTATAAGTCTATCTATAGTCTATCTATAGTCTAGTCTATCTAGTCTATAGTCTAATATCTAGTCTATAGTCTAGTCTATAGTCTAGTCTATAGTCTATCTAATCTAGTCATAGTCTTAGTCTATCTATAGTCTAGTCTATAGTCTATAGTCTGTCATAGTCTATATCTAGTCTTAGTCTGTCTATGTCTCTATTAGTCTAGTCTATAGTCTAGTCTATAGTCTAGTCTATAGTCTAGTCTATAGTCTAGTCTATAGTCTAGTCTATAGTCTAGTCTATAGTCTAGTCTATAGTCTAGTCTATAGTCTAGTCTATAGTCTAGTCTATATAGTCTATAGTCTAGTCTATAGTCTAGTCTATAGTCTAGTCTATAGTCTAGTCTATAGTCTAGTCTATAGTCTAGTCTATAGTCTAGTCTATAGTCTAGTCTATAGTCTAGTCTATAGTCTAGTCTATAGTCTAGTCTAGTATAGTCTAGTCTATAGTCTAGTCTATAGTCTAGTCTATAGTCTAGTCTATAGTCTAGTCTATAGTCTAGTCTATAGTCTAGTCTATAGTCTATTCTATAGTCTAGTCTATAGTCTAGTCTATAGTCTAGTCTATAGTCTATTCTATAGTCTATTCTATAGTCTAGTCTATAGTCTAGTCTATAGTCTAGTCTATAGTCTAGTCTATAGTCTAGTCTATAGTCTAGTCTATAGTCTAGTCTATAGTCTAGTCTATAGTCTAGTCTATAGTCTAGTCTATAGTCTAGTCTATAGTCTAGTCTATAGTCTAGTCTATAGTCTAGTCTATAGTCTAGTCTATAGTCTAGTCTATAGTCTAGTCTATAGTCTAGTCTATAGTCTAGTCTATAGTCTAGTCTATAGTCTAGTCTATAGTCTAGTCTATAGTCTAGTCTATAGTCTAGTCTATAGTCTAGTCTATAGTCTAGTCTATAGTCTAGTCTATAGTCTAGTCTATAGTCTAGTCTATAGTCTAGTCTATAGTCTAGTCTATAGTCTAGTCTATAGTCTAGTCTATAGTCTAGTCTATAGTCTAGTCTATAGTCTAGTCTATAGTCTAGTCTATAGTCTAGTCTATAGTCTAGTCTATAGTCTAGTCTATAGTCTAGTCTATAGTCTAGTCTATAGTCTAGTCTATAGTCTAGTCTATAGTCTAGTCTATAGTCTAGTCTATAGTCTAGTCTATAGTCTAGTCTATAGTCTAGTCTATAGTCTAGTCTATAGTCTAGTCTAGTCTAGCTATAGTCTGGTCTAGTCTATAGTCTGGTCTAGTCTATAGTCTAGTCTATAGTCTAGTCTATAGTCTAGTCTATAGTCTAGTCTATAGTCTAGTCTATAGTCTAGTCTATAGTCTAGTCTATAGTCTAGTCTATAGTCTAGTCTATAGTCTAGTCTATAGTCTAGTCTATAGTCTAGTCTATAGTCTAGTCTATAGTCTAGTCTATAGTCTAGTCTATAGTCTAGTCTATAGTCTATAGTCTAGTCTATAGTCTAGTCTATAGTCTAGTCTATAGTCTAGTCTATAGTCTAGTCTATAGTCTAGTCTATAGTCTAGTCTATAGTCTAGTCTATAGTCTAGTCTATAGTCTAGTCTATAGTCTAGTCTATAGTCTAGTCTATAGTCTAGTCTATAGTCTAGTCTATAGTCTAGTCTATAGTCTAGTCTATAGTCTAGTCTATAGTCTAGTCTATAGTCTAGTCTATAGTCTAGTCTATAGTCTAGTCTATAGTCTAGTCTATAGTCTAGTCTATAGTCTAGTCTATAGTCTAGTCTATAGTCTAGTCTATAGTCTAGTCTATAGTCTAGTCTAGTCTATAGTCTAGTCTATAGTCTAGTCTATAGTCTAGTCTATAGTCTAGTCTATAGTCTAGTCTATAGTCTAGTCTATAGTCTAGTCTATAGTCTAGTCTATAGTCTAGTCTATAGTCTAGTCTATAGTCTAGTCTATAGTCTAGTCTATAGTCTAGTCTATAGTCTAGTCTATAGTCTAGTCTATAGTCTAGTCTATAGTCTAGTCTATAGTCTAGTCTATAGTCTAGTCTATAGTCTAGTCTATAGTCTAGTCTATAGTCTAGTCTATAGTCTAGTCTATAGTCTAGTCTATAGTCTAGTCTATAGTCTAGTCTTAGTCTAGTCTATAGTCTAGTCTATAGTCTAGTCTATAGTCTAGTCTAGTCTAGTCTATAGTCTAGTCTATAGTCTAGTCTATAGTCTAGTCTATAGTCTAGTCTATAGTCTAGTCTATCTATAGTCTAGTCTATAGTCTAGTCTATAGTCTAGTCTATAGTCTAGTCTATAGTCTAGTCTATAGTCTAGTCTATAGTCTAGTCTATAGTCTAGTCTATAGTCTAGTCTATAGTCTAGTCTATAGTCTAGTCTATAGTCTAGTCTATAGTCCTAGTCTATAGTCTAGTCTATAGTCTAGTCTATAGTAGTCTAGTCTAGTCTAGTCTAGTCTATAGTCTAGTCTATAGTCTAGTCTATAGTCTAGTCTATAGTCTAGTCTATAGTCTAGTCTATAGTCTAGTCTATAGTCTAGTCTATAGTCTAGTCCATAGTCTAGTGTATAGTCTAGTCTATAGTCTAGAACATAGTCTAGTGTATAGTCTAGTCTATAGTCTATTTCATAATCTAGTCTATAGTCTAGTTTATAGTCCAGTCTACAATTTAGTCTATAGGCTAGTCTATAATCTAGTCTATAGTATATTTTATAGTCTAGTCTGTATTCTATTCTATAGTCTAGTCTGTATTCTATTCTATAGTCTAGTCTGTAGTCTATTCTATAGTCTAGTCTATAGTCTGGTCTAGTCTATAGTTTAGTCTCTTGTCTAGTCTATTGTCTAGTCGAGTCTAGAGTCTACATGTCCAATTAAGGGCCTGCAACGCGGACTGGACCCCCCTAGTTACATATATAAAAAATTTTAACCCAAATTTTCTTAAGTTAAGATATTTAACTATAAAATTTATCTATAAATATACTAAATTGCAAATAATTAGATTCTAAGGATTTAAGTATTGTGCACTCTTTACACTTTAGAACCGAAATTGCTTTGTCATAAAAATATTCCATGATTTGCATTTAAATTCTAGACAGTATAACAAGTTTTGTTCAATGGAAACTTTTTTCATTGATACTCGTATTATTTCTATTCTTTTATAACTTTAAACACAAACAAATAAAATTTGCCGTAAATAGATGTCTTTTTTAATACTTTTAATTTGCCAAAAAAACAATGTTTTTTTAAATGTTAGTAATAAAATTATATATTTTGTTCAAGTATTTAAATGAAACATTCATGTCTGTTTAATATCAAAAATAAAAACCATATTGTCTGACTAACAAAATTACTTTAAATTGTTTTGTGTTGGACAAACCGGTCCAAGTGCACACGCAGTTTTAAAGCAGATCGACTACCGGCCTTCGCAAAAAACAAAATCGCCTATTTTGTTATAGAAAGCACGTGTCTTTTTTTGATGCATTAATAAAATATTTATAAGAAATAAAATGATGCATTAATTAAAATCTGAAAAAGAAATCCAATAATAATGATCTCTATAATTTCAATAAAATTTAAATCGGTTAAACAAGATCAGTATTATGTTTTGTTTAAACAGTTGTATTGAAACTTTTATAACACACAGTGGCATTTAGTAAATTAATTTAAGGTTTTAATTTTTTATACAATCTGTCAATAATTGGGAGCAAATCATATACATATGTATCTGAACTTCGTAACTTTACAAACTTGAGGTCTTACTTAAAATTGATAAATAATGTGAAACAGCCAAACAACTAAACTATTCTCTAGATAAGACCATTCTAGATAAGACTATTCTTTAGATTTTATAGATCAGCATCTGGTCTATTCTCTAGACTAGCCACTGGTCTGTTCTATAGACCAGCAACTGGTCTATTCTATAGACCAGCAACTGGTCTATTCTATAGACCAGCAACTGGTCTATTCTATAGACCAGCAACTGGTCTATTCTATAGACCAGCAACTGGTATATTCTAAACACCAGCAACTGGTCTGTTCTAAAGACCAGCAACTGGTCTGTTCTAGAGACCAGCAACTGGTCTGTTCTAGAGACCAGCAACTGGTCTGTTCTAAAGACCAGCAACTGGTCTGTTCTAAAGACCAGCAACTGGTCTGTTCTAAAGACCA